CTTTCTCCACCACCTGCAGTGACAGGACAGAGGATGAGGGTAGCAGTGAGGAAGCAGGGATTCAGTTCAAGTGGGATTCAAACCTTTTCATGCTGCCAGATGTTAAGATAGCTCTTATGCAAACTGACACTTGTGGAGGTTGTGTTTTGTGTTGGTGTGACACAGGAGAATCAGCCCAGGAGACACATTGCCATGTGTATGGGGTAGCACTGGAGACTCATTTTGCCCCATAAGCTTGGCATTCAACTAGGTATCTATCCAAACCACTGGGAAGAAAATGAAACATTTTAAGCGATCATACTGGATCCAAGAGCACACTGGGGCACATTTTTCCTATTAAGGAAGTTGGCCCAATGCTAAATGCAAAAAAAATTATAATTACTGCTTTAAGATTTCCTCTCTTGCTACGGCTGTTAATAATTAAATGTTATGCAAGCTTCTCTCCATAGATGTTCAAAGACCTGTTGCTTTTGATCTACAAAGACAAGACAGCCTTGCTCAATCTCCTAAGTCCCCACTTCAGAGGTATCTGGACTAGAATAAAAGTGAATAACATAACTCAGTCCAGACAGCCCTCTTGCCTCTAGGCTTCTCAAGTATGCTTAAAGGGCACAGTGTCCTATAGATACACCTACAGTACCACATATTGGACAGAGTTTGCCGCTAGTGCAGTCACCACCCAGGGAACACTAGTGGGGACTGCACATGTGGAGCTCAGTGTATTTGGTCTTCATGTCACACTTTCTCTGAGAATGGTTGGAGGACAAGATGGTACAAACACCTGAGCACACCAGAGCCCTGGCTACCCAACAGCTTCCAAGCAGGGGAGAACACAAATACACACACTGGAGAAGTGGCTCAACATTAGTATTAGCTCACCTTAGCACCGCAGTCTGCTTCTTTGGACACACAGAAGCCAATGAAGACCGGATCGGCCATTTTAACAAGGATATTGTCCACACAGTAAACATGGATATATTGGATCCCACGTTGTTCCATGTCATCTAAGATCTTGTTGTCCACCATTGCACGGTATAAACCTCCATTGCCATCTATAATCCAAAGAAATAACAGAGCCCATTTTGTTAATGTCCAACCATCCAAACCACACAGTGATGTCAAGAGCAGAATCTTTAAACCATGAACAAACAAGGAAAGCTGGAGTGACATTTTTTAGTGGCTGAAACACAGGACTGGAATTTAGCATGGCTAAATATTATCCCAAGTTTACCACATGTTGACTGTAGCCCTGGGAATGAGTTGCTTAGTTTCTGTGCCTCTGTCTCCCCACCTGTAAAATGGGAATAGTGATAACTCCTACTGTGGAATAGGTGAATATGAGGGATTACTCAATTTCATGCCAAATACACTTTGAGATCCTTGGAGGAAAAGTACCAGAAGGAAAATATTAGAATTTGGGAAATAATTATCATGCTCCTCATCTTCTAATACTCTAGTTTCAGACACATTTAAAAATAGAGCTTTAAAAGTAGTTCTTACTCTCCATGGTGTTTCAGCACACTGTCTCCTTGATGCATCACACTGGGTTTTGTAGGAGGCACCTCAAGCACTTGTAAAGCAGGTCACATTCCTGATGCTTGGAAAGGGATCAACAGCACAGACTATGAGGTAGGCATGGCACAGGCAAGGAGATGTACCAGCTTCTCACCTCTGCTAACACCCCTCAATCCCGATATGTAGCATCCCCTTGCTACTGCAGTCCTGACCCTCCGCCAATGCTCTTTTATCTCAACCTGCAATAGCCTATACTTTTCCAGTCCGGCCAATATCCCCAATCTGCAAGAAAGCATTTGTGACATGGGCAAACCTCTAAAAAGGATGGAGCTGAGATCATCACACCATGAATGTGTCTGAACACCATAGTACCAAGCTAATCAGCAACTTTCACCAAAACTTTAACATCTGCTCCTACAGAGAACTCCTCTGTGCCAAGGTAGGGGTGGACAGCTCTGAATTTCAACATGTTTTTCCTTACTGTGACAATCATAGGTAGACAGCAGGGTACCTGGTGCCATGGCAATTTTCCCCTTCTCTTCCAAGATAGCTTTCCCATCAAATGTTACAGCTGGCAGCATCCTCTGCTCAAACATAATCACATTAGACTTGTCCAGGTTAAAGTAGTCATGTTCTATGAAGAATTCCTCTGTTGGCCCCAGTGTAAACTCACTTGTCATGATGTACCTGCAAGTGAACAGAAACTGAACTAATCAGAATGAAACACAGTTAAAAATAATGGCACATAGGAGATACCCTGATCAAGTCTGTCATTTGGGTTTTTCTAACAGGGAACCAATATTGTTCTAAAAGAGCTGCCTGAAACATCCTCAGTGTTTAAACAAGATGGATATCCCTACAGTGGAACTCACACTGATTTACAAGTTCTCCAGAGAGAGGCCATTTCTATTTGACTGTAGCAGTGGTTTCCAAACTGCGTTCCGTGAAACCCTGGGGTTCTGCAACGAGGTTGACAGTAATGGCAGATCAGGCCAGGAGGCAGGGTACCACCACTCCTGACCCAGGTCACCTGGTACCACACCAGTGTCTGGATAGGGGTAGGGGTTCTGTGCCAGAAGGAGTGATATGAAAGGGTTCTCTGACTTCAGAAGTTCAAAAACCACTGTTCAATAGTAGGCCTGTGCAAGTCAGCAGCAATCCGATGCGGCTTCGGATCTGGCCACTTCAGATGGCAGGGATCCAATTTGGAGCTCTGGACTGGGTTTCCGCTTCAGGGTATAATGGGGAATCAATTAAATAACTTTGTTGGTTTTTGTCCAATTTGGATGAAACTTGCAGGGATCGTAGCCTCTGCTGAGCGCATAAACCCTGCCAAGGTTCAAGAAGCTGGGTGCAGGGGTTTGGGGGGAACTGCACCTCAAGCTGTGGACAAGCAAAACTCATGACATGGGTGACCCTGCACGTGTCAAGACGCAGTGGGGTGACAGCTGCAGGGATGGTAGCCCCTGCTGAGGCCTGCCAGCTGTGGAGGAGATCGGTGCAGGGGGGGTTCTGGGGCCCTGCACCCCTATCTGCTGACAGGCAAAATTCGTGCCATGGGTGCTTGTGGGACTGACTGTGTCTGTCTTGGGGCAGTTGATTGTCTTCTTTCCTCTCCTTAGCCTGGTTTTGTAGGTGCTAATTGATGGCAATTAACTGGCTACATTAGTTAGGTCCTGTGTATTGAGCTGGTCAATGAGTGAATCATGATTGACTGGTAACTGGTAACACAGTAGCTTAGCAGTCAGGCCTGCAGTAGTGTCTCCTATGCCCCAAGCCAGGGGTGTAGGGCCCCCAAACCCGCCTACACCGATCTCCTCCACAGCTGGCAGGTGTCTTGGCCTCAGCAGGGGCCACCATCCCTGCAACTGTCAACCCGCTGTGCCTTAACACACAGTGTCACCCATGGCACGAGTTTTGCTTGTCCACAACTTGAGGGGCAGTTTCCCCCCAAACCCCTGCACCGATCTTCTTGAAACTTGGCAGACTGTGACCTCAGTAAGTGCTACCTCTCCTGCAGTTTTGACCCCCCTGTGTTGTAACACAGATGTGACAGGAGTTTTGCTTTCAAGAATTTAGGGTGCAGTTCCCCCCAAACACCTGCACTGATCTTCTTGAAACTTGGCAGACTTAATGCTCTCTGCAGAGTCTACCACCCCTGCACATTTCATCCAAATCAGACAAAGAACAACAAAATTATAGATACGTTATGGTTTCCACGTTATACCCTATGGCCAAATCTCCAAGGTGGCTCCAAAGCACTTCGGAAGCTCTGAACCACTTCGGAAAGCCAAACGAGGCCCACGTTTGGATCCTGACGTGCTGCTTCGGACCCCGAAGCATCCAAAGCTTCTCCAGATCTGAGCTCTGTCCAAAGCCTCACGCAGCCCTATTCTATAGGATATCCACAAGGGCTAGCTCAGCCCTAACTTTAGACATTTTTAACTAGGGTGAAATGATTTCTCCAAAAGTGAGTGACATCCATGTGTCAGAGGGTCACTTAGCAGCTGAAGTAAGGAAAAAAAACCTCCTCACACATGCCTGATAATCAAGTTAATGCCAAGACATGGAGGAGGAAGGGTCTACAGTAGGTTCTCATTGGCTTTGGGTCTCAAGGGCCAATAATGAATCTTCAGTAGCCTGAATCCAAATTTTCCAAATCCTCTTCTCCTGGAGAAACAGAACATTTTCTAACTCTGTTTTCCCTCTACTTTATTTTTCCCAGTGCTGTTATTCCTCTCTCTCCTTCCATTTCCAAATAATTTTCTCTTTCTTCCCCCACATTTTTCTTCTTTAATAGGGTGGGGGTAAGAGCTCATTTTCATAAGATCCTCACCTAAGCAGCTAAGCAATTCCTATTTCTATAGGCCTGCAGGGTCCTGTTCTTGCACACTAGAATGGCCAGCCCAGCACCGGACAGTATGGGTGCTGGCATAACCTGGCATCAGGCTTTCATCTATTGTGTTTTCCAATGCTCCCTTTCAGAGTGAACAAAGCTCTAGGCAAATACCAAATGCAATCAGTATAAATCAGGTCAAATGTGGCATAAGACATGCTTGCCCCAGTGAGCTTTCCCAGAGAACAACCTGGAGCCATGTCAGGTTAGTCAATTATTTATAAACAGCACCTGGACAAAGTCTTGAGGTGTTAAATTCCAAACCTCAGGGATACTCTGGGGCCTTCACACTCCCCAACTCCCTCCTATGACTGAGCAGGACAAGGTGGTGACATTAATAAAATCTTCTTGCTGGTAACAGCCTACTGCCGGAAGTGCGCACTTAAGAGCCTTCTCCCTTCTCATCAACCTGCTCACCGAAGGAATTCTTTTTTTGCACTTCGAACATTTTGACTGTTTTGAAACCTGGAGGCAAAACAAGCCATCAGCAGGCAGGAGATTAGGAGCCCAGTTGCGAATAAGGCACTCTTAAAGCAGGCAGCATTTCAAGGCTTCTATCTTTGATATAACCCATTTAATGCTGTTCTTTTTATGCATGCTTCCTGCTGATGCCTGGATAGGCATGGCAGGAGGTAAAAACAGAGGAGATATGTTGAAGAATCACTGTGCAGGATTCTCCTTATGGAGCAAGAGGTTAAGTAGGAAAGAAAGCACTTACCTTTGTGGGAAGAAAAAAACCCCACTGTTTATCGTGGCAGAAACAGTAAGTGCTGGGTTCTTGGAAGCTGCACAATAAGATTTCTCAAGCTCCAAAAAAACCCTCAGAGAAAGGCACAATACATTTTCATCATTTCTGCTCTTAGAAGTCCTGGTGGGTACTTATGATAGGTCTGAAATAGATGCCCAGATATCACATAGATAGGTGTTGTATAAAAAACTAGATGGAGAGATCACAGTTGAACCATAGTTCAATTGTTTGGACACTGTTCTGAGATCCAGGAGAGCAGGGCTCCTTTCCTAGCTCTGCCACTGCTGTCTGAATTTGGGAAACTCACTTCCCTTTTCTGTGCTTCCCCTCTTTGTCTATCTTTATTATGAACATTTAAAAGCAATGAACAACCCTTTGTGTCCATTAGCACAGCACCTCACAACACCACTGGAAGCTGAGTGAAAGCATGTGGGTGGCAGCATAACACAAAGACATCTGTACCATATACACAACATGTCATGCCACCTACCAGGGGATGGTACACTTGGTGCCACATTTCTTGCTGGCAAGCTGCTCCACTTTGCGGATTCTTTCTGCCTGAATCTGATACAAGGTCTTGCCACTAGGCAACCCCACGTTGTACATCCCCTTGGGATAGGTCACCCCCAGGCGCGTTCCTTGCCCTCCAGCCAGGAGCAGCACTGCCACTTTATTCTGAGAGATCTGATGAAAACCTGGTTGGGACAGAAGCCACACAAGAGAAAAAGAAGAGAAGGAACGTGAAGATCAATAAACACTAAAATTACAGGCCCTTCTCATGTGCCTGTTCAACAAAGGGGCTCACACATAATATTCTCTCCAATTTCAGGTGAGGATGTTGAGGCAACGAGAGACAATGTGTGTTCTCCGATGCTGTATGCAACTGTGCTTCTGGGTTGGCTGCCAGCATTGGGTATGGAAATAATGACCTCTGGATCTTACAAGAACATTACAGAGCCAAGAGACCCAGCTCTTTAGCTAAGAGTGTAGCAGATGCTATTGATGACTGTGGCTTAGCAACCACAATGGATGGGAACAGATTACTAATAAGTAGTGAGATTTATATGCACAGCAAAACTATTGCATTGGGGAACACAAGCCAGAAGCCCTGAACCTGCATACTCCAATCAATAGACAAAAGCCCCTCCCTCAAAAATCCCAGTCTAAAAATTGGAGAAGGGTTTGATAGTTCTTTCATTTGCACTCTTTTGAATGCACCCTGCCTTCCCACTGACCAAAGCTACACTAGTTAATAGCAAGAGGCAAACATTTATGGCAGGCATTTCCCATGAGATACTGCTGGTGCAGCAACCTCAAACTTACAACTTCCAATAGCATCCCAATGAAAGGCATTCAGTAGTGCCAACTGTTGACAATCAGCACAGTGGGTAATATGGTATTGTGGGTTTTGGTGAGTACTATGATATTGTGTTAGTCATCTCAGATCTGCAAGGCTACAAAAAGTCAAATCTTAATTTTGACTCAGAAGCATATGGAACAAGGAACACCGAACAAAATGGAGCACTTCTCACAGGGTCAATCTTCTGACAACTGTAACCCTTCCCCCTCAGTCCTATCCAATCATTCCTTCAAATTGGTGATAAGAAGGAAAAGCCTACTGCCGTCTCAGTACCCTCCTCTGTGGTTTGAGGCTGGCCAGGGATTCAGCTTCCAACAATCAAAGCAATGGGACAGACTCCTGCCCAATATCATAATATCGCTGATGATATTAAGAGATGATACTAGGGGATCCCGGGGGTGTTTTAGGACTGTGTCCAGCTCATACCAACTCTCCTTATAGCTTGCAGGGCTGTTGTGGAGGGTGACTGTTGAGTTCAGAGAAGTTAATGGAAGGTAATGCTGCAGCGAACACAGGCCATAAGGGTTATAGGGCTCTGATCCACCATAGCAATAATATGTTCTTTGCTTAAATATATTGCTTCCAAGTTGGCAACTAATACCAAGTCAAATGCACTTTGGAAAGCCAATTACACGCTATCATTATACAGGCTGGTATCATTGTTCAGCGCACTACAGTTAAAGGGACATTGGTCCAAGGGCCAGAACAAACATTTAGGCAGACGCTTCTTTTCCACACTGCCCAGGTCTGCAGAAATTGTGCAAAGTTTACAATAGACTCTTATAAGGTTCAGCTATTTTGGGCATAAGTTAAAGTGGTAACCTCCAAATAGTACAGAATTGAAGTTAAAAAAAGTGCTGCCTCTCCACAAGAGCAGAGGAGGGGAGTTACAGCAGCTTTTACACAAAGCTCAGCAGGCTCCCTTGTTATGGACCTCCTCCTTCCTGCCCTCGCTGCTGCTCTCCTTTTCAAGGTGGATCTATGGCAGATTTCCTCACCTATCTGTTCTCGGTGCTACAGCAGTCTACTCCAGGCAAACAGAGAAACACAGGGGTTGGCAGGATGCCAATACAATCCTCAAACAAATTACTAAAACCCTACTATTAGGGCCGTGTGAAGCTTCAGGTACCCATTCGATCTGAAGGAGATTTGGCTCCATTTGGTGGTCAAATCTCCAAATCCAAATCGAATCAGGGCAAAGGTTCGGAGACCTTTGATGATTTGGGCAGTCCCCAGTGGCTGCAGCAGGCAGCTGCAGCTGATTCCAAACTGGTAAGTACTAGGGGCAGGGGAGGGGACCATGGGGGGACCCCTGCCAGCCCCTTGATGCCCCCCACTCCCCTAGCACCCCACATGGCTGCCCCTACCAGCCCCAGCTCAGTACTTTAAAGAAAAGCCCCGATACTCGCTGGGTGCTACCGGGTGGGAGGGTGATCCCCACTGCCCCACACTGCATGGGGGGCTCTGCACAAGCCCCCTGACCTCCCCCCTGCTCCCCCAGCCCCTCCAGAGGTGACCTGCCTGCCCCAGTTCCAGCCCTTTAAAAAAGAAAAAAAAGCAGTGGCCTTGGGGTCTCATGCAGAGCCCCCCACATGGTGCAGGGCTGCAGGGGGCACTGGGGCTCATCCCCCGAAGGCAGGAGCAGCAAGTCCCGGGGTTTTCTCATGTTTTCTTTTTTTTCTTAAAGGGCCAGAGCTGGGGCAGGTAGGGCACCCGTAGCGGGGCTGGGGG